AATAGTGATGGGCTGAAGGGCTGCTTATTATTTAAATGTAAATTTGTTGCTTTTACTTTTAAACGTGGCAGAGAATGAGTTAACACTGTTACATTTATGCCTTTGTCAAACTTGTGCTTAACAGGTGTCAGTGTAAGTATAAATAGCCTTCAGTGGATTTCAGGATTTATCTTCAAACACAAAACTATAAGAGGTTCAAGTCGACGTGGCATGCGGCGGACTAACGCTGGCCGTGTTTGCTCTGCCTAGCACTGCATTTTAAAACAAAGGCGTTCCTCAAACATCAACAACCAGAGAGAGAAACCACAGAAAAGTACGCTTACTCTGATCAGGTTGCTGTTATTACCAAGATATATTGCCTGCTTTTGTTAATTATATTCTGCACTCCCATGCTAATGAGCATATTGAGTTATCCTATATCATATTAGGGGTGTCGTGGTGGCGATCTATTAACTACCTCGTCTGGTATACCAGAGGTCGTGGGTTCGATCCCGATCCTGACGCCTCTATATTTGGAGTTTCATGTTCTCCCCGTGGTCGCGTGGATGTTTCTACAGGTTCTCCGGGTTCTTCCTCCATATTTAGAAGCGTGTATTTGGTTGCTTTAAATTTGCACACGATCAGCCACTTCGTTGGGTTATCATTTGTGGCCAGGTCGCTTCTGAAAAAAAGAGCTATGTAGCTCAGTGTGCCTTACCTGGTGAAATAAAAAGATGTGTGTTTTGTTGTTAGTGTAAACAAAAAAAGGTTTGCTGGATGAATTCCTGCCTGTATTCCTTTCCGGCTGGCTGGCGCACTGCCAGAACGTACGTGCGCGGCGGTGACGTCATCGCGGACATCTGCGCGATGACGTCACCCGAATCCCTGTCCATCGTGCTGGGTTCGTGCGTAGCGCGGCTGGCTGAGAGGGGGGAGATGGAGGGAGGGAGAAAGGGAGGGAGAAAGGGAGGGTCCTGTCCTTTAACGTCTGTCAGTTTATTTGCATTGATTCAAGGCAGCCGAACTCTGCTGATGAGACATTGCCTATCGAAACCGGTCCAGAGTTTTGCTCGCACTGAATTGATGTTCCTGAAATGATTCATTTCAGGAACATGGGTTGCATAAAGAATACTTGGGTTTTTTAGGTGGATAGATTTATTGTGGAGATATATTGGCTGCTTATCTATTGTGTTATCAAGATGATGTTCTTAGAAGTCCCAAATGTACATTCTCAAAGCAATCTTGATTTGAAGCTTTCGTGACTGCAAGGAATCCTTACTCTTTGGTATTTTCGGTAAAGTCACGTAGGTATAAAAAAAATAATAGATCACGACGTTTCGATCGCAACACAAGCAACCGTCATCAGGTGTGAAACAAACACAGCAGGATGACTGATGACGTAGCTATGTCATCAGGTGTGAAACAAACACAGCAGGAGGCCTGCTGACGTAGCTACGTCATCAGGTGTGAAACAAACACATCAGGAGGACTGCTGACGTAGCTACGTCATCAGGTGTGAAACAAACACAGCAGGAGGACTGCTGACGTAGCGACGTCATCAGGTGTGAAACAAACACAGCAGGAGGACTGCTGACGTAGCTACGTCATTAGGTGTGAAACAAACACAGCAGGAGGACTGATGACGTAGCTACGTCATCAGGTGTGAAACAAACACAGCAGGAGGACTGATGACGTAGCTACGTCATCAGGTGTGAAACAAACACAGCAGGAGGACTGCTGACGTAGCTACGTCATCAGGTGTGAAACAAACACAGCAGGAGGACTGCTGACACGACACGTCAGCAGTCCTCCTGTTGTGTTTGTTTAACACCTGATGACGGTTGCTTGTGTTGCGACCGAAACGTCGTGATCTATTTTTTGGTTTTAATACCTATACGTGATTTATTATCAAAGCACTTTCGTACGCATGTTTTACCACAAGTGTGTGTGGTTAATAATTATAATAGGTGTCTAATTGGTATTTTAACTTCTCAACACTTGTATTATTGCCGGGAAGGGTGAAGCCAATTCTTTATTCATCATTTTTGCCTGTCGAGAAAAGTTTTGGAGCATTTCAGTCAGATTTTTACAACTCATTTTCCACAGTTATCAACGTAAATATTTGTAATGCTTTACAACTGCAATAATGCATTAGGATTGTCTGTCCAGCTGCCTATCGCTAAAGTGAGGTCATGATAGCGATTGTAACGATGATCCAGTGTGATACAAACGTTAGTATAAAGTTGTGTTCAAATTCGGGACCTACCCGTGAGAAAACTGGCTTTAAAAAAATCAAGGATTTGACAAAATCTTGGGGACATAAATCACGTATAAAATACGATTTGCAAACACACATAATCCATCCATATACATTACCTTGTGTTTCTTATTTCCTTAATAGAAAAGATTGTGGTGGTGATGGTGTTTAAGACTATTCTGTCTCGTTGAAGTCAACATGGAATACGCGCTTCGGACAGTGGGAATTGGAAGCGTGTCTGTGTACTTTGTCTGCCACTGATTTCACAGGTTCACAATGCCGTTCTGTGCTGTCCCCTTTCTCATTATAGCGTCCATTTGCGTGCCGAGTGTTCCACGTGTCTGCCATCCAGAGTGTCCGCTGCATGTTTATCCATGGCCAGACGCTGACCGCCGTGAAGAACGGTACATTTCATTCCACGCGGTGAGACACAAAGCGTTTAATCGGAGTCTGCTCGTGGACATCCCACCCTGTGTACACTCCTGACTCAACGTGTTTCCTCGTTTTTCTTTACACGGAATGCCTTCCCTTTCTGCTTTGCGTGTCCAATTCTTCAAAATAATTCACACGGTCGTTTGTTAGTTTCCCTCCTTGTTTGGAAGTATTCAATTGTATTCATCAACTCACGCCAGTCGATCGATGAGCGCGGAGGAAGCCAAGACCGCATCGGATATCACCTGCCACTGGTGTTAGTCGTGGCTTGGAATTGAACTCAGGTCTCCAGGTTCGTAGAGCAGTGTGCTAACCGCTGCCCCACTGCTCTTTTCCCCTTCGCCAACCTGCACTGTGTGGTGAAACACGGTCAGAACATCCAATTTGACCGACACACGAAGGCATGGCCTTCATCTAGCAGCGGATTGACAAAAAGGCTGTAAAATTATATGCTGCTATTATGTTATTACATTATTTAGCTTACAACTCCAGATGATTTCCAAAGTTGCTACATTTTTAAAATACGTGTTTTATCAGCGACTGAATTTGAAAAGAAATTATTCACAGTTTGCCTTTGTTACATAATTCAAATGTACATATATATTTTTTATTCACCTTCAAATCGGGCAACTTGGTGGCGAGGGATGTTTCTCCGGGTCCTCCGGTTTTTCCCTCCACATTTATAATCAACACGCGTTTAGAGTATTTGGCTGCTTATACATTTCCACGTGATAAGCCACTTGGTTGAGTTGCTGTTATTATTATTTGTGATAACCAGGTTCGCTTCTGAAAAAGAGCGATACAGCTCAGTGAGCCTTACCTGGTAAAATAACAAAAACATTGTTTAGAATATTCTTGGTTCTTTCGGTAAAGTTACGCAGAAGGGAAACAATAAAATAATAAAAATATAAAACAATAAAATTCTCACGACGTTTCGACTGCAACACAAGCAATCATCATTCAGGTGTGAAAACCACAACAAGAAATTTTGAAAAAAAGTGGCGGTTTTTTTAACGTTAGCACCACGGAGAGAGTTTGTTCAGATGGACGAGTCCATCAATGTTCGGAAAAGAGGAGGGGGGAGACTAAAAAATGGTGAAATCTCTATCCGTGGTGCTAACGTTAAAAATAACTGCCACTTTTTTCAAATGTTCTTGTTAAGGTTTTCACACCTGATGATGATTGCTTGTGTTGCAGTCCAAACGTCGTGATAATTGTATTTTTTATATTTTTATTATTTTATTGTTTCCCTTCTACGTGACTTTACCGAAAGAACCAAGAATATGAATCCCTGCAGTCACGAAAGCTTTAAATCAAAATTGTTTAGTATAGTTTAATTCCTTCAGGCAATAAACAACTTGGATATGCTATCTTTACTCCTGAACCCACTGCCCTCTCTCTTCCTCCTGCATAAATGCAAACGGGTATTTATTCAAAACGCTAGAGCTGATAAAGAACGCCCATATTTCATGAAGGGACAGATGCAGACAGAAATCTGGAACCTGGTTGGACTGTTCCCTCCTTTTTGCCGCCACTTTAAATTAATGTCTGGCTCATTCCAGCAACAGATGGGGAAACCTACCATTTGGTTTGCAAGCCATGTCTGTGGCGCGAATCTATCTGCGGATTTTTTTGGAAATCATAACAACTCGAAAAATTTCCGTTCTAGATATCTGCCCTTGTCATGCCGACAACAGCACGGCTGTTAAAACTGTGACGGCATTGCACCAACGTGTTTTTTTTTTAAGCAATTGCCTGTGACAGTCAAAAGCCTTCAAACAAATTCAGGTGCCGTGTATTTCCCTTTAGTTTCCACGGTGTGATTTTCAATTAATTCCAACCACAGGATATTCAACAGCGACAGCAATTTGAATTGATGCATGTTGGATTTTTTCTTTATTTCTACAATCAAATGGACGAACGCAAGCTCGTGTTCAAGCACGAGTTTTGCAACGGCATCGGCACCTACCGCATTTTCCCTTCTCATTGCACTTTGCAGGAAACTCTGTAAGTGTCACTTGCAAATTTTTTTTTTGCATCAACAGTTTTTGGATCCATCACTGAAACTACCATGGTAAGTTCAGGCTTGTCGCGTGAAAATGAAAAAAGCTTTGACGGAGACCAGTCGGAGAGGCATTTACGCAAGGAATACAGAGCTCTGCCGTGTCGGCGGACAGGATGCAAAGTATCGTGCAGATGAGCAGAGACGAGTGGATTTGTTAATTTTTCAGGGAGCAGTCTCCGCCGCCTCGAATGCCTTTTCCTGCTGGCCTCCGTGTGTCTGAGACATGCATTAACAATGAAAATCCTGTGTCTATTGTCTCAATTGCAGGTTATCCAGTTAATGTTACCTGCAACATATTTATCAACAGTTTTGGCTCAATAGCAGAGACTACAATGGTGAGTGACACGAACATTGAAACCATCGTTTTACAGATTAATTTGCCCATCGTCAAAATCTGAAAATCTTTTCGAACATCGTCCCTATGATTTTTTTTTAGCCACGCATGAAAACACATTTTTTCAAGAGCCCTTATACTTCTGATAATATACATAACTGACTCATCATCACGTTTGCTTGCCTTGCTTTAGGCCTTCGCATGCAAGGAAATCATCGTAATTATACAAATGATCTTGGAAGGCCTGTGTGGAGCATGGGTTTTAGTGTATTGCATTCGTAAATTAAATATAACAATTTTGATTTAAAGCTTTCGTGACTGCAGGGATTCATATTCTTGGTTCTTTCGGTAAAGTCACGTAGATAGAAAAAGAATAATAAAATTAAAGTGAAAAAAATCTAATGTAGACTGTAGCCTGGTTCTTAATTGGAGTAAGTGTACTGGTAGTCTATAATGTAGACTGTAGCAATTGGTTATTAAGCTGGGTGAGTTTACTGGCAGTCTATAATGTAGACTGTAGCCTGGTTCTTAAACTCGGTGAGCGTACTGGCAATCTATAATGTAGACTGTAGCCTGGTTCTTATCCTCGGTGAGTGTACTGGCAGTCTATAATGTAGACTGTAGCCTGGTTATTAACCTGAGTGAGCGTCTACATCATAGACTTCCAATACGCTCACCAGCTTAAAAACCAGGCTACAGTCTACATTATAGACTGCTAGTACACTCATCGAGGTTAAAAACCAGGCTACAGTCTACATTAGTGTTTTATTTTAATTGATTTTTTATTTTCACTCACATTAATTGTATTATTTTTCTATCTACGTGACTTTACCGAAAGAACCAAAGAATATTACATGTTTTGTTATAATGACATATGACACTGCAAGTGCAATTAATTGGCATTTTTGTTTGACTTATGACATTGATGAAATTTTAATTGCAAATCATCAGCAATTACCTGGCTCCCAAATTATTAAATGCCTCGCATTAAAAAAAAAGTTTATTTTCATTTTAATTATCCAATGGTTGAAGCTCCATGTCATTTGTGGGCAACAAGACATAATTCTTCCCATCCAGATTCATGAAAATATAAAGATTGTTCTCAATGGAGAGGGAGATTGTGCTTTGCTTGCTTGTCATTCTAACGCACTGCGGTGCAGCCATTACACTTCGTGATGTATGTAACAGTGTCCTTCACTAATTTTCAGAGGGGAGCCACTTTCGCCGATAAGACGACATCGGCGTGAGGGCCGCCACACCATTTGAAACCATTGGGGGGTGGGTTTGACAACACGATGTTGATGATGGGGCGGGGGGGTGTTTTCACATTCGTGTATTGTTGGGGGGCCATACGTCAGGGGCCGCACTGAAGGCCACCAGGGGCTGCCAGTGGCTCGCGGGCCTTGCAGTGAAGAACTCTGTGATAGACGCCGTGCAATATGCATTCTACAGGGTGTCCATGAGGGTATCAAACATTGTTAAACGCTTTTAATTCGAGAGCAGTTGGAGCAATAAACTATAGATATGTGTACATATACACACACACTTGGAAGAATAAAGAGTTTATCGTATGACCCTCATCCCCCTAAGCCCCCGTTAGTTCACAATGGTGTTGACGACACATATTCTATTGAGATTTAGCGTGCCCCGTGACTTCCAGCATCTTCGGTGTAATTGCTTGAATGCTTTTGTAATGTGCCATATTGTAAGATGATCTGTAAAATTAAGATGCACCCCAAACTAATACGGTTATGACAAAGACCCCCCGTATAGCCTTAACGGACTGTTGTGGCAAGTGCTGTTAGCGAGTACCTATGAAGGCCGGCACGGCACACAGCGGAGTGGGTGGCCAGCACCACGCCCCCTTTGTTTCCCCAGTGATGGTGTATAACACCACCACCACCACCACGTACTCATTTAAGGCTGAGTCAAGCTAGGGAACGCCCAGGACCCGGTTCAGATATTTCCCACTGTTATCGGTCGTGAGCGGGAATCAAACTCGGGTCACCGAATTTCCAAGTGCAGTGCATTAACCAGTGCGCCACTGCTCCCCAAAGAGGTTATATAAGAAAATAATAGGGGTTTTCCCCTTTTTTTTCTGGCAACAAACTGAAAACTTTTTACAAGGATTCATGTCTGCATTAACCACAATACCTGCAGTCAAAATGCAAACACAAAACATACTATGATAATATATGTGGCATTGTCCTTGAAACTGATTGGTCCACACCAAGGGACGGCTTTATTTTGAGACTCGACCCAATTGGTGCTCGACCAGATGACGCCAAAAGGCGTTACACAGCTAAAAGACAATGCACTATCAAAGTAATGAGGGCTCGGGGTGAGCATCTACATCATTAGACCTCCTTTGCCAGTACCAAAATATAAGGTTATACAAATCTCGTCTGAGGCACACTCTTCCTACCGGATTCTAAAATGCCTCTCCATCTCTTGTTGTAAAGTATAGGAGAAAGTGTGTCTTATAATCAGAATATCATATAATGCTGCTGACGATAACTCGAGATTTTGTCTTAAAACAATTTAAGTACATAAGGAATACATTGCAAACATTTACATAGTGAAGTTGAAACTGATCATTATAATTATTTAATAATTAATGATATCTTCATTATGGATACCCTGTATATAATTTGCTATTCCCCAACCCTTTGCTTTGGCTTTGTGTTTAAATGTCATTCAATCATTTTCCCATAACCTCCCTGCCACCTCACCATCAAAGGCAGTGAACACTTACATCTTTTATTTTATCCAAACACAGCTCACAAGCATGCCTTTTGTAATTCACGTCTCGACATCATTGGGGCTTTAATATATTTGACCGATTAATGAATCATGGTGAAGGCATTAGATGCTCGTGTATTGGTTTTGGCGAGACGGCCCGTGGTAAGGCTCGCAATTCATGTCACGGTTGTTCAATAGCGAGTCTTGAACCGTTTCTGAAATATTGGTCTCGCAAGTGGAATCAAATCAGCGGTGGGTTAAACAGGCAACTTCATGCATATTACTTGGCACAACACAATGCCATGCTTTCCTTCTGTCAGTCAATATTTGCCATTTAATTGATATTAGAGGGGGGAGGCGCAACACGTGCTTTATTCTGAGACGTCACAATACCATTGTGTATTTATTGTATTGCAGCGCAGAGTGAATTTTAAATGCGATTTGTATTTGGTAGCAACTGCAGACGTGCATCCACAGAGTGTAAACAAGGCAATGAGCCATCAGCCATCTGGGCAGATAATGGTTTTAAATTTGTATGGAAAATGCCCAGAGAAGTGCCACTGCAGGCCTCGGGCACTTGACAAAAACAATAACAAGACCGCCAGGCAAGCCTCACACTGAAGTAGACAGATTTTTTTTTGGTTTAAGAATATTCGTGCTAAATTGGGATATTTGGCTGATTCCGTTAATCATTGTTTTCGCTGCAAGTGGGAGGAATTCAGAGAACCTGAAGAAACTCCGTGCACAACAAGGGGGATGCCACTCAACACTGACAGCTATTGGCCACCTTGCAGATCCATGCCTACGACACCTGGCATGGCCTGGTGAACACCCATCCGAGTATTCACCAGGCTCATCACAGCTTAGCTTCAGAGATTGGATGGTAATGGGCACATTCAGATTCGTTTTACTGCAGGCAATATAAAATTGCAAAGCATCCCCAGAACACACAGAGGTGGCCCCTAATTGTAGACCGCCCACTGCTTCCCCATCACCCTCACCGATATTTAACAGCTCTCGAATGTGCACGGGGACATTAGCACATACGCCAGGCCGGTGGTGCACGCAGGGCTGTAATGACTTCTCACCCACGGTCTCTCGGTGTTCCCCTTCTGCGCGCAGGACTACCGGGTCAACATTTTCCTGCGACAGCAGTGGAATGACCCTCGACTGGCATATAGCGAGTACCCCGACGACTCCCTGGACCTCGACCCCTCCATGCTTGACTCCATCTGGAAGCCCGATCTGTTTTTTGCCAACGAGAAGGGGGCGAACTTTCACGAGGTCACCACTGACAATAAGCTGCTGCGAATATTTAAGGATGGAAACGTCCTCTACAGCATAAGGCAAGTTTGCCCGTCGTAGCGACACGGCGATTCAACCCTCGAGGTGTCAAACGCTTACCGATTCACCCACGTAGCTTTTTTGCTTAATTCTATTTGCTAGGTACAGACTCGCTTCTGCGGCCGTCTTGGAAAGCCACTGGAGCTATGCACTTTTAAATCATCATCCAGATTCAAAACTCATTTCTTTAGAACTGATTCTTGTGTTTAGTTTGTTGTCCTTCCCCCCCGCACCTCTGATTAGTGCGGTTGGCTGCACGCGGTGCAAAATAAGTTCAACATACATACATACTGAGTTAACACAGTTGGCTTTATGTATGGTGATGAAAGACGTTCAACATGCATATATAGATACATGTACATTTGTAGGGTGGTGCCGGTGGCACAGTGGTTAGCACACTGCACCAACAAAGTAGTTACCCGAGTTGATTTCAAGTCACGGCTAACATCAGTGTCGAGTGATATCTGAACTGCTACTGCCAGTTCCACCCTCCTCCCCCTCCTTCACCAACCCGCACAGTGAAGTATGATGAAACAAAACACGTGACTGACAAGGCATTGATAAACTTTCGTTCGTTGGTGGATTTGGAATATCTGGAATTTATTATTATTATTCTATAACTGTTGTATATGGGAATTAACAAAAAAAATTGTGATAGACCAGTGAGTGATGCCATGCCGAGATGAACGGCCTCTATTTTTAATCAATGTGAATAATTCACTTATAACCAGACGGGAAGATAATTGCTCCTCTGAACGTGACACTAATTGGTGGAATAACGACTACGCACGTTTCTTCTTCTGACATCGCAATGGATGCGATGCCACCAGTAGTGCATCTTTCCACAGAAGTCTTTAGCGGTGAAGTCTGAAAACTCTTGTGAGCTACTTCCCGAAATTAAAGTGGGGATAACAATACGCGTGGCTCGGTGACACACCGCACCAGCCGCTATGCCCCGTGGGGTCCAGCGCTCGACACGGGGACTGCGATGAATTTAAGTAACGAACAGCCCCGTGGCGTGCGAAGCAAAGGGGCGACAACATCGCTCCGAGATTTGCGCGAGCGGAGGTGAAATCGTAAAAAACAAACGAAGTAAAGAAAAAAGAGATGACGGCAATGACTAAAGTTGATTCCACGCTCTCGACATGAGCACGAGACGGCTGCGTTTGTGCTGCCGGGCGGCCGCGTCACTCATTAATCGTCGCCGCGTCGATTTTTCCACTTCGACCCACCGTTGCAGACTGACGCTAACGCTGTCTTGCCCGATGGACCTGAAGAATTTCCCAATGGACGTCCAAACGTGTGCAATGCAGCTGGAAAGCTGTAAGCATCGCAGTGACAAAACAAGCGAAACCAACAACAACCATAACAACAAACATAACAAACCATAACAACAAACTACTGTATAACAACAAACATAACAACCACAACAAGAAACTATAACAACATAACAACAACAACTATAACAACAAACTATAACAACACACACAACAACCATAACAAACTATAACAACAACCATAACAACAAACTATAACAACCATAACAACGAACCATAACAACATACCATAACGACAAACATAACAAAATCAATAACAACAAACCATAACAACAAACATAAACAACAAACCATAACAATAAACACCGCTGCTTACCCTCTCCCCCTTGCACAATTTTGGGTAGAGCAAGCGACTGTTGAGGATTGGTTATTTTGTAGGCATGCCATGTGTGTCGCATTTATAAAATCTGTATTCTGCCCGTGTTCCCCCCCCCCCCCCCCCCCACAGTTGGGTACACAATGAATGACCTCATTTTTGAGTGGAAGCAAGAGGGGGCAGTGCAGGTCGCCGAGGGGTTGACGCTTCCCCAGTTCGTGCTGAAAGACGAAAAAGATCTCGTCTACTGCACGAAGCACTACAACACAGGTAACTCTGTAACTGTTTTGCTTGTTTGTTTGTCTGTCTGCATCGGTGAAGCCTTCGATGGATCGGATGAGATTGCAGCCTTAACTAGCATCCGTACTCTCGTCGATGTTACTGCAACACGCTGGTTCTTACCCTGGGGTGCACGCGCCCCCTGGGAGTGCGAGATGCCCTTTCTGGGAGTGCGAGACATGGCCAGATTTTTTCAGAAGGTTAAATCATCGAAAACACGGTGAAACGCGGGCACGTAAGTACAACTACTTACGTATTTATTAACATTATTAATAAAAAAAATTAAGATTGAAAACCAAAGGGGGGCAGACTGCAACAAATGGTTAAGAACCACTGCTGTGACACAAACGGTGTGCTTTGGTGGGCCTTCTCATTGGCTAAACTTGATTATCATGCCCCACAAAAGCTTTGATTTTTGTAACGCTTTCCAACTCAGAGTGTGTGCATGTACGTATTTCGGACATCTTTCGCACCGTACGCAGCCAACCACGCCAATCGGAGAAGGTTGATGCTTGAGTTATGTCCGCCTGTCCGTAAGAGGGCATCACGACTATCGTGAAAATCATCCCAACATGTAAATACGTGGCGCTGCTCGGGACTTCTCGGACATCTGATGCGCGCACTACACTACTACTGTTATCACTGCGAAGGAAACACTTCCCAATGGCAACACACACGTTGGAAAGCGTTGCAGAATCGATGCACGAGCATGCATTTTCGTCTTTGTTTTGATGTGCACGTGACCATTGACGTCACGTTCAGCTGTGCGGTTTTTTTTGTTCCATGCTTGCTCAAGAGTCAGGATGAGCTATTGAGTTGAATGTCCATTGTAATCCTTGAGACGTCTGTAAGAATCGCTTCTGATATAACTGGCATGCGTAGAGTGCTGAGTGTCGTGCTATTTATTTCGTGTGTGATCCATTGAAGCAGCTTCGTTGAAATGCCACCGTTGTTATAATAATAATAATTCTTTGGGACTGTAATCAAAGCACAGCGTAAATTATGCTTCTTTTATATATCAAAGAGTCTGTGACATCGTGTAATAGAGTAGGACTATCGCTGGGTCAATACAATGCCTCAAATGTGTACATTTGAAAAACACGGTTCCAGCACTAAATTGATCAAATACATTAACAAACATTCTCTGTGTGCGCGTGCGTGTTCTGATGTAACGTGCACTCACAACCGCAGCCCTGCACTGCGTTAGACAGGACTCTCTCTCCGAACTGCTGCTCGCAAATTAATAGCCATTGTTGTTATCAGCCTATAACCAAATCACCCAGAATGTTCCTGATTTTCGTCTGACCTTGGAAGTGCTTGGATGAGCGACCGCCATTCATAACAACTGCTATCGACTGCTGCAAGGATAGCAGCAACATCAATTGTTGTACTCTACTTATAGACCCCCTACACGCGTATATACTTCATGACTCGAGTTGGCAAAGGATGGCCCAATAACACCCACAACACGCACTGCGTGGGGAGGCCTCCATCCAGCGAGCGTATTGACAAGAGGGCCGCAAAATGTACGTGTTGCTTGTAAACTCAATTTCGAGCAATTGTAGACCCATTGAAAAATGATAATGACGATAACGATATATCTCTCCTGTGCAAGGTATTCCAGGGACAAATGCAAGGATAATGATGGGTGTAAGGGCAAAACAATGTCGTGCGCGTGATCAGATGAGGCGATGCACATGCTTTTATATTTATACGGATGGCGATATCTTGTTCGTCGCTGTGTGCTGTTCTGGGGGGGGGGGGGGGGGGGGGGTGGCTGGTTTGTAACGTGATCTATTCCAAAAATGAAGACGTGCGTTCACAAAGCATTAAGATGACGTCATCTGGTCGAGCACCAATTGGGTCGAGGCTCAAAAGAAAGCCGTCCCTTGGTGTGGACCAATCAATTTCAAGGACAATGATATATTATCATAGTATATTTTGATTTAAAGCTTTCGTAACTGCAGTAATTAATATTCTTAGCTCTTTCGGTAAAGTCACGTTGAAGTGAAACAATAAAATAATAAAATATATATAAAACAATAAAAATTCTCACGACGTTTCGACCATAACGTCATGATGACCGTTTGCGTTATGGTCGAAACGTCGTGAGAATTTTTATAGTATGTTTTTTGTTTGCATTTTGACTGCAGGTATTGTGGTTAATGCAGACATGAATCCTTGTAAAAAGGTTTCAGTTTTGTCAGAAAAAATGGAGAAAAACCCTATTATTACATTTTGGTACTGGCAAAGGAGGTCTAATGATGTAAATGTTGGTGGTGCCTTTACAAAGGGCACGGAGCAACGGAGGTTATTTTTTGAATTTATATTTTATTAAATTCGTTCTTTTTTTTATTACGTACCATTCACATTCCGAGGGTGCGCTGCCCAATATGAAAAATGTCAATAGACTTTAGCATGAGAATTGCATTTATAATTGAATAGCTATTGAGCTATTCCATATATATGTGCGTGAAAACTATGAAGCCGATGAAAAATATATATCTGTCATTAAAGCATTTGACATTTTTATTATCATCATTTATTTTACCCACAACAACATGATAAAATATAGATATGCAGTGATATTGTCAGAGTAAATATGGAATTTGTATTGTCTTGTATTTTAATCAGCCTTGATTAGACCCCTCCTGCCTTACCTGGAACACTGTACACAATCGAATTAAAACCACTCTCATTAGAACACCATGCATTGTTCAAACGCGTAACTGTTGCATTAACAATGTAATCTTGAATATTCATCTGATACTAATTATCGCACGTGTACTTTCCTTCATTACGGGAGATGTTTATTAAACCCAATTCTGTGAATGTATCATCGTAAAAAATGTAAGGATTAACCTGAGTTACGTAAAATAAAGTCACGATTCTATTTCAACAAAAACATATTTTGATTTAAAGCTTTCGTGACTGCAGGGATTCATGTTCTTGGTTCTTTCGGTAAAGTCACGTAGAAGGGAAACAATAAAATAATACAATATAAAACAATTCAATTCTCACGACGTTTCGACTGCAATACAAGCAATCATCAGGTGGGGAAACCACAGCGAGAAAATTTGAAAAAAGTGGCGGTTTTTTAACGTTAGCACCACGGAGAGCGATTTGGCAGTTATTCAGATGGACGAGTCCATCTATGTTCGGAAAAGAGGAGGGGGAAGACGAAAATAATGGATGCGGTCTGAAAGCCACCATAAGCGTGAACAATCAATTAAGACCCACCATCCATCCCAGAAGAATTCCCTCATCAAGACTCGTAGAGCCCAATGCATATCCGACCAGGAACACATAGCCAGTGAACTCAAGCACGTACACCAAGCTCTGAAGGCGAATGGTTACTCCGACTACACAATCCGCAAAGCCATCACTCCAACCATGAAGAAGGACCCTCTTGAGGAGCCATTCAAAACCATCACTTTACCCTACATTTCGGGGATCACAAAAAATATCTCCAAAATCTTGAATAAACACAAGATCCAGGTCCGATTCAACACATTACATAAAATCCGTGACCTGGTTCCATCTGTAAAAGATGTGATTCCGGACATAAAGTACCCTGGCGTCTACAAACTAAGTTGCCTCTGTGGTAGTAGTTACATTGTAGAAACCAAACGACATGTCTCGGACCGCATCCGTGAACACAAAGCAGACCTAAAAAACGGTAGGACCAACACCTCAGCCGTGGCAGATCACTGTTATAATTCAGTAGGCTCACATGACATTGACTTCTCCAAGACAGAGGTCATCTGCAAGCCATCTGGCTACCATGAGAGATTCGTTCATGAGGCTATCCACATATAGAAACACAGAGACAATTTCAACGGAGAAGATAGATTCTGGCTTAGCAATCATTGGAAGGATTTGATAAACCATTTCGGGTCTTAATTGATTGTTCACGCTTACGGTGGCTTTCAGACCGCATCCATTATTTTCGTTTCCCCCCTCCTCTTTTCCGAGCATAGATGGACTCGTCCATCTGAATAACTGCCAAATCGCTCTCCGTGGTGCTAACGTTAAAATAAAAACGCCACTTTTTCAAATGTTCTTGCTGTGGTTTTCACACCAGAAGATGATGACTGCTCGTGTTGCAGTCGAAACGTCGTGAGAATTGTATTTTTTATATTTGTATTATTTTATTGTTTCCCTTCTACGTGACTTTACCGAAAAAACATATTTCTTTGCTTTTTCAAGTATAATAATTTATTTAACGAGGTATGAGGCTCAAGCGATTTGTTACTAATTGAATTGAGGTGACGCGGTTGGTTACGTACGGCGCAAAAGAAGTTCAACATACATAACATGCCAAATATCGGCAATTTAAGCTCACGATGCGCAAGGGTGAACCTTTAACACCGCTAACATTTAATAGGATCTCAGCATGCAGTCAACTCTCAATAGTTCGGGGTAATTGGCGGGTGGGAGGGTTGGGCACCAGATGAAACAACAACAACAACACGGACAATTACAAAACCTAGGAAAATTTGGCAACGAAAAATGATCCATCTCGTCTACCAACACGGAACGGAAGGTGACGAGAGAACATCTACGTGCCCGTTGTTTCTCGAAGTAAAGAGTTCACTTGCCGACATTATGATGCCCCTGGGCACTGGGTCACGGACCCCTCGACAAGTGAGGAGCAGCTTTTAAACGGCACAAAGTTAATCCGCAAATCGGAGAACCCGTGACAATAGAGCTTTACATGATAATCTCAATTGCCACCCGCGCTAAGTAGTTACGCTTATCGCTCGCTGCGGTTGAACGGAACCTCCCCCATCCCCACCCCGCGCCTCCTCCCCACTCTGCTCGCCACCAGGCAAGTTCACGTGCATCGAGGTCAAGTTTCACCTGGAGCGACAGATGGGCTACTACCTGATCCAGATGTACATCCCCAGCCTGCTGATCGTCATCCTCTCCTGGGTCTCCTTCTGGATCAACATGGACGCGGCGCCGGCGCGCGTGGCGCTGGGCATCACCACGGTGCTCACCATGACCACACAGAGCTCGGGCTCCCGCGCCTCCCTGCCTAAAGTGAGAACGAGGGCCATCACCCGAAACGTCGCCTATTTGATTAATTTACTTTTTGTTCCCTCTTGCGACGACGGATGCGCTGGGTGTTTTGCTCGACGCGCCGCCACCACTGCAGCTGCACGAGTTTTTGGCTCGGTGACGATGGCACCTCCCTTCGGGAACCTCGGCCTGAAATAACAACGTGGCCGATTTTAATAACGGAGAGAGGAACTCAAAATTGCCGGCTGTCTGTGATTGCTGCCAACGTCATTGCTGGTGTGTGCTGTACCAGCTTTACCAACTTGCTGTTCGGTAACAGTACTTGTCTCAGCAGCCTGCACGGAAGGAAAAAAAAAAACCTGTGATCCTTGTTTTTGTGTTGTTGTATCTCTGTGTGTGTCTGTGTACGTGGCAAAGGTGCTTTCGTGATTTGATAATGCACTAGAATCCATCAATCAGATTTCATTCCGAGTTGTAAAATACCGGTGGCGTGCAATGTCCACAGTAAACTTGTTGAGCATGCAGAGAAACATACTTGGGTTGACAACGAGAGACAAGGCGAAAAAAGTGGATGGATTAGAGATCATATGCAGGTTAGATACATCACTTTGGGTAGGACACAGCACGAGAAGGGATCTTGACTGGTGGCCGAAACGAACGACAGTGGCAGCCAAAGGAGGGGACAAATCTGAGAGTACCGTCACCGTGGCGATGGAGCGATGAAATCAGCTCCTGTGAAGGTCCTAGACGGATCGATTTTGCTTTGTAAAATCATGATATGGCAATGGCTTTGGGACGCCTTCATCCATGGCTGATATACTTGTTAAGTCTCTCCACTTACGCAAATACTGTAAGTAATTAACAACATTGTGGAGAATACAAATAACATATATAAGCAATGTCTCCCACACATCTCCAATAGCACGTTGAAATATTTCTAACATCAGTCGCACAGCCTTCTGGGAGGGCATGGAGTATTGGCCTCAAGACAAGTTTACTCTGAAGCAGTTTTTTCACCAACTAGAATCTTACCGAGAGCAACAGACTTGCCTGAAACAATTCTGGTGAACTGTCGGTCTCATATCCAAGAACCCTTTTGATATGATATGGGTGATAGTTCGACACTCCCAGAAGGCCGTCTCGCTGATGGGTTGTTTAAGAAATGTATATTTGTTTATGCCAATGGACATGTGAAGAAGAAATAGTGTCCTTATTTATTTTATGTCTAAATATATACATAATGTTAATGAGTGTTTTGAACTAGGACGCATGTCGTTAAAAAAGATCGTCCTTTCTTATAAGATTGGAAGTTCATCAGGGTTTGTTTAAGCAACTCTGGCTGATCAGGCACTGCCAACGTCTGCTTGTCTCAGTAATTATCAGCTACAATTGGATTAGCTTGGTCTTAAAACAAGTAGCTGGGGTAGCGAGACAGGCAGCTGGCCCCTAATTGCTGTTGGCCATCACTGCCCCCACTACCTATTGTGTGTGGGGTGAATAGGCCATCAGCTAACACCGCTTGCCTCTCTGTGGCCTTGCCAAACCGACGAAGGAAGATGTTTATATTTTTATTTATTTATGGCCTAAAATGTAAACGATGTCCTCCGATGAGATAAACCAATGTAGTTGTACTCGTGTAGGTGATAGGTCGCAAGAGATCGTGATGGCTTGGGGAGAGGCATTCATCCAACAGTGGATTGATCATGGCTGATGATGATTCATTGACATTTTAAACAATGAGGTGGCAAAAATTTACGTGGTGATGCTGCATTGGCAGTGTTGCATAAGCACAACTAACAAAACAAAACTATGACCAAACAACTGTTAATACTCTTAGTTACTAAATATTTCTGATGATTTAACGATTTGTATGATACTTAAAAGCTACCATTCGGTAACTATTCATATGACTATTTATATACTGGTCACCATAAAACATTTTTCAAATGTAATTCTCACCATGCCCACCAAAATATTCTGGCAAATCGCCTGACGATGCTGGATGTATTTACCAGCGAAACGTCATACTACTCAATTTGTAAATGTCGTGGATTTACTCTCCAACACACCGATGGGCTGAAGTCGTAACTATTTGGCACGTTTTGTGTACGTGACAAACCTTACTGGCTGTGCCGGGTGGTGGAGGGTGACGACACATTTATACTTACGCGATCTAGCCCAAAAATCTTATTTATGAATAATATTTGTCTCGAAAGCCGACGTGTTAAACTCATCATTATACACTCTAGTTCTCTGCCCTCTGTTTATGTGCTATGAGGAAGGGCCATTGCCTGAAACGTCGCCGATCAAATAGATGTTTTCTTGAGCTGCGAGTGTTGCTGACGAGTGTGTTTTACTATTGTCAACGAATTGACTTCGAGTAACGTGACAAGAGCGCACTGTAAGGGAGTACATTAAAATACCGAATTTGATTTTCTGACGCACCGAGCGGAGGATCAAACGTGACGTTTCTCGTGTTAAGATCAATGTGAACGATTAGGAGCGTGTTTTGAACACTGTGTATCTAAGAGTAAGGCAGAGAAGTCTTTTATGCAACGATGTGCGGATTTAGTTACGCTCCTATGAATATTCCCGTATGACTGTGAGAGCAACAGAGTGGTCCTGAACCCCATAATCAAACGCAAATTGTGCCCCAATCGCAGACGGAGTTTCAATCCCACTCCGCGCTGAAGCTCCTTTGTAAAACTCTGCATCAGATTGCAATTCGTAATGGCATGGAAGAAAATAAATGACAGGGTTTGGTTAAGGTGTGTGAAGTTCTACAGTAATTTTGCTTTTGATTGCAAGTTCCTGTACTCCTCAGATTATATGATGCAACTCTTTCGACCATTTTAAAAGCAAAAGTTAGGCACGTGTCTCACAATCCGAGACCAGATATGTGTAATTTTATTGACACTGGGCACACGTCTGTCGTTGGGGTGTGCGTTAAATTCTGCAGCATCTTATGATCTGCAAACTATGAAAGTTTACGCGCCGCATGAGTCTCAGCCTGTAGCTCCATTGTGCCCTGTAGTACCGATCGCAGGCCCCCATTTTGGAATACCTCCAATAACAATAAATTGATGTCAGAATTGCATGCACACACAACAACAACCACAACAACTGCAATTTCACATTCAGGTGGTCAAGCCGGATAACCGTGTGTCAGGGGCAGCGGAGTGCATCGCTGCGACGTCTCCTTCGTATTCGCGGATCGGGCATTGAGTAAGATGTCGTACGCTCTGGTGTGGATGATCGCAGGTGCACAACGGAGGGAGAGAGTTTTTTTTAAAAAAATTCTCCTTTTGTGCATCAGGTATCCGCACCCGCCCCGGTTACGCGCGCACGCGATTTGGCTCATAGCTCAGCACGCCAACAGCCGCGCGCCACCGCGACCGATACCGCCGCGCCAAATGACAACGCCCCGCTCGACGATGGGCCCCTCCTCGCGCCTCTTCCTCCGCAGGTGTCCTACGTGAAGGCCATTGACATCTGGATGGCCGTGTGCCTCCTCTTCGTGTTCGCCGCCCTGCTCGAGTACGCCGCCGTCAATTTCGTGTCGCGCCAGCACAAGGAGCTGCTCCGCATCCGCCGCCGCCGGCAGAGAAATCAGGTGGGTGGAGAAAAGGAAGAGGGGGAAAAAAAAATCGACAAACGCCGCCGCGATCCCGATCAGCGTCATTAGGCAGCATCGTTGCTGCTGTCCCTTTGCAGGCGTTTGTTGGGGCCGTGGAGCTAAGGGCTTCCCGGGTTGCCCCCCTCCCCCCAGCGTGATGTTTTATCCCCTTGACTGTGACTCTCATCCGCAGTGATTTGTGAGCAGAGGAGGGCGGTGTGTGTGTGGATACCGCTCTCTCTATGGATATTTGGAAACACAACACCCTTCGTGTTGTCACTGATGACCTCCACAGTCATCTTCATCCCTATCAGTGCCAGTCATGCTTAATCCACTTCGTTTGATTCGAAGATGCTGTGTTTAAATACGCCACCCCCATTACCTTATCACTTGGGACATTTGTAAATGATTACGAGAATGATTACGTTAATTATTTTGTCAGATTGATCTAACCTCATTTAAAATGGTAATTATTTGGATTATCAGCTGTTTTTTTCTGCTTATTTTAAAACACCCGATAGGACATCGCGTAAAAAACGGTGATTCAACTCTGTCACTGGACACACAGCAGTCTTTCGGCTATCAAAATAATGCATTACCATCACGGAAGTAAATATAATTGTAACATTTGGACGCGTTCACTCGTCGTCGGGCTCATTCCTGCTTTACATAAACAAACAGAAATTGTGCTGAGCACGATTCCAAAAAGGTGCACAAAGAGCCAGACCACCCTCCGTCTCCTCCCAGTGTAAGGTGATGCTATTTCGCGTACGACTGTTGTCTGTGCTGTCTCTGCGCGTGTGTCCGTGCGTGCGTCCTGTGCGTGTTTGTGTGTGTGTTTGTGTGTGTGTGTGCCTCCTGTGCGGGAAGTGTAGCGGTTGGCACGCCGGTTCGATATCCGTTCACGGTCAACACGAGTGGCGAATATATGAGCTGGTCCTGGGCCTCCCCTGGGTCGACTCAGCCTTAAACGAGATAATATGGTGCAATGTGTACACATCAGGGCTGGGAAGACAAAGGTGGTGCTGGCCACCCACCCCCTCGTGTGCTGTGCCGGCCTTCATAGGTGCTCGCTAACAGCACTTGCCCCAACAGTCTGTTAAGGCTACACGGGGCGGGGATCTTTGTCTTTGTGACGTTTTTGTGCGCGTGTGTGTGTGTTTGCCATCTCTTTAACATTCATGCCCTCTCCTCCCCGCCCCGACACGCCACGCACACAACGGACTCCCGCAACGACCGGCCGGGTGGCCAATCAGCCCGAGCAGGGACTGCTTGTTCAGAATGAGGGCTTAGACGCCGTCCGTCGAGTCAACGGCTTAAGGAGAAGCGATCCCTCTTATGGGACTTCGGTTCAAATCTACCAGTCGGGCACACGGGTGAAAAAGGTGCCTTCCGACATTGCTTTTTTCCCCTCTCTCGCGCGGTTTAATTGGTTATACGTGGACGGATTAATAGTGGCGTTTCAAAAACGCCCCCTGCTTGTTTAAACTGTTGCCCGTTTCATTACTGCAAAGGGCACGCCGATTTCCTTTGCAAGAATGAAACATATCTTTTCTGTCCCTGGTTTTTTTGTGTGAATGTTTACCCCAACACAAGTCTGCTCTTTTTGTTGAAATTATCCTGCGATGTATCTGGGTGGTGCGCTGGTGCAGCGGTTAGCAAGCGGCTGTATTGAACCTCGTGACCCCTGAATGCATTTCCTGGCCATGGCTAACATCAGTGGCGAGCGACATCTGAAATACCACTTTTAAAATTTTCACTGACCATCATGGTGAAGCATGGTTAAGCAACCCCCTTGATCGACACAACATGGGGGAGGCCTTCATCCAGCAGTGGATTGACAAAGGGCTGCGATTTGAAATAATATTAATTTGCAACATATTTACATATTTTATAAATAGCAGTGTCCCCATATTCAACATGTTGGGTGGTGCTCATCTCTGTTTAGTCGTCCTTAGCCATTGGTGGAAAATCCACATTCCCATGGCGGAGAATGGTCTATCCCTTAGAGAATGGTACACGATGTATCCAGCATCAAAGGATTGACGGGATGAGCCGATCCCCCACAGGGAGTTGAACCTACGTCGTTCTCGTTGTGAGTCGGGCGCTCTGCCACAGAACTGTTTTTTCTGGAAAGCCGTTAACCTGACCGTTATAATCAGAGCGGGCCGAGACGCCTGCATGCGATGCCGTGACACAGATTGTCCGTATCTACCCCCCTGTTCCCTTAACGCTCACCCATCCTCCTCCTGCACAACTGAACCTTGTCAGCGTCCGGTTGACCCAGGCAGTCATTCGCGTTGCGGTGGCCCACGCCACGCCTCTTCGCTGAACGCCTCTTGGCAAACGCCCAGCACAGAATGCTCTTCCCCCCCCGCAATTACCCCCCGTTGGCTCGTGCAGTGTTTGGCGTTCCCCGCACCGTTCCTGCGCCGTGCGAATGCGCCACGCCGGCTCACTGTGTGCATGCGACGCGGGCGGGAGATTCTGCAGGGGGGGTGGGGTGGGGGATGTGCCCTGTGTCTGCGTGCTGTGGGTACAAGGGAAGGAGTGTAATTGAGACTGCCTCGAACGGTGGGCTTATTGTTTACGATTAGCCTAGCGTTCAATGTGAAAATGTTGTTACGTAGAAGGCACGAGTTGTGGCTGATGATGATGATGATGATTTATATTGTCAATTCGCAAGCCCCTTTTGTTTTCGTACATTATCTTCTGCCACTCTCTGCCAGGCCTGATACGTACCTAGTACGTGGTCTGGCCTCCGTGTTTAACAGCGGTAACAACGGCTGAGTAATAACACATCCTCGGGTGTTATATATCTAATGAAATTCATTGTCATGCATTGTTCAAGAGACTTGCACCATTGTACATTTCTCCGAGTTGCGATCAGCTGACAGATGCAAAGAGGGTCTTTGATTTAAGCCATTAACTCAAAACTGCTTAGAAATATTGCAATGATAAATTTATTTACGCGGTTATTTTTTGCATCTGGCATTCTATGGACACCTTTCTCTCCTTAACCTCAAGCTTGAGCCACCAAATTCGATAAGATCTAAACTCAAAAAGTTGTTTCCAGATCACACTCGCTTTTTATAATGAAACACGTGGGTTGACTCCTTCGCCCCAGATAAATGCTTTTATTTTGTAAGAGAGTGGAAGGCAACGAAAGGGCTTTAAGTTAATTTCAAAGTCACACCCGCCGACCAAACGTTAGGATTAGTTTAAGCCCCAAGCAAACAATGTCATATGCGGTAAGTGTCTGTGCATTTAATATTAATATTCCCCTCTCTGGGAATATTCACGGTGCTCTTGTACAAACAACACATGCTCAAAATGTGATGGTAAGGAACGAATGTGGGGGTAAACGCTTTGGCTTTGACGCTACTGCGGGATCAGAACGGCCTAAAAATTGAAAAAAAAAAAAGCTTTACAGCAGTGTCAATGTTTTCGAGCGACAATAAACCCGCAAAACGTTTTCATTCCCAGGACGAGGATGGGCGCGAGAGGGGCTTCAATATGTATGGCATGGGGCAGTGTCTGCAAGCCAAAGACAGCGTGTCAGTGAAGGGGGTGAACGCAACCAACGCAGCACCTGCACCAGCACCCACTCAGGATGCCATCAAGAAGAAGTTTGTGGACCGTGCCAAGCGCATAGACACAATCTCACGTGCCGCCTTCCCGCTCGCCTTCCTCATCTTCAACATCTTCTACTGGATCATCTACAAGGTCCTCCGTCACGAGGATATCCACAAACGGTAGAGCCGGTGAACCCGAGTGTGCAATCGCCAAACGAACAAAAAACAACGACAAAAAGTTTTAACTTCCCCCCCCCCCACCACCTCTCTCTTCCTCACAAGAACATCCCCACGCAAAGCTTCACACCAGGACCCAAGATTTTCTCGCTGGCAACTGCAAGCATCCTGCACTCCAGATTGACGTTTGGCAGAAAATGTTCACATGTGTCCTTCATAGCCCCTACCAACAAACGCACCCTAGGAAATACAGAGATGATGCTGATTGTAAGAGAGAGAAAAAAACCACACGGCCAACTCGTCATACTTTCTTACAAGAATCATACGAAAAGACTTCTATTTAAATTGATAGTTTTAATTTCAACACAAGTGGCTTCCAGTACCAGTGTATACGTGTCTGCTGCTGTTTTTGAGTATCTTATACAGCTTTTTAACCTTGTGAATGTCGAAGCAGTGTTTTTTTCAGAAATATTTCCAACATTCCAATTCCAGTTATTCGTGAGAAATAACACACATACAATGAACGGTAGTGGTGGGAATACAATCAACGTCAAAGTACAAAATGCTGAAACCTTCATTCCAACAACGAGATTACTGCAATAGTAACACTTTTGATTACTGTGCTAAAAGGTAGGGGTTTCGTAATCACATTTATAGTTCTATATTACGGTCAGTTTAACGATGATGACAATGATGAAAAAATATTATTACGGGACGTATTACTGTGCAAAAGTTAAGGGTACTGTTACAGTTCTGGGGGGGGGGGGGGGGGGGTGGGGTCCCTACTGCGGACAGCAGAGAAGTGGCACTAAAATCCAAGGGATAACTGGGTCCACGATGGTAGACACGGGCCAGGGATTACGATTGCGGTGGTGGGCCACATTTACAGCTCCCATTCGTTGTCGCGTGATGGGTGGCTTGGCTTGCAGCATGCGGCCGGGCCGTGAAGTTACCAACGGTCACGCCAGGAGGCCGGCGATGGTAACAGAGGTTGTCACAGTGCGCTGCTGGTAATGCGTCTGATGCTATCTGAACAAAATCCCAGCGGCGTTGGCCTCTCCACCGGCGAATGAAATGAGCCTCGGGCTCAGGCAACTGCTATATGGTGATCTGTTACACAAGCCATTTTGAATGCAAAAAAAAATACCCACGCTATAACAAAATCTATTTATATAGCACGGTGTGTTTAAAGGCAACATTTTAAAAGGTTGAAAAGTAAACAAAGGTTCTAAATTACATTTTTGTTATTCATATGCGATGTTTGGAACCTCCATTTTTTCCAAGTTCAACCTTTGAAAATGTGGTCTTGAAGTCCTTTTTTCCAGCTATTTAAATGGTATAACATTTTCTCCCTGTGCTGGTGTAGATATATGCCCCGTGTTTTGGGTAGTGTCCATTTTTATACACGCTTCACTTTTCTAGAATCAGCCGTAGCAGTCAGTCAGTCAGTCATCTCCATGTCCTTTGAACGCCAAACACGTACTTCAAATGGTGTTCCGATCCTGTACAGATTCGTGAATCCGCGTGGTGTGATAGATGGAAAACGTACGGTATCCTGCATTACTTTCCCGTCGTCTGTTTTTTTTTTCCCAAAGTCCAGCACTGGGTTGTGCACTGCGTTTACAGAACAGGAACACAACGGATGTTCCGGGCGACCGGCTCGGCGTCACGATATACGTGCGGTGGTCACAGCTTCATAAATCTCGAGCCCAGAAACTTCAGAGTGCGAACGGGAGCCTGGGAGTTTGCCGCCTCTAATATTTAAAGTACCCCCCCCCCCCCCCGAGAGCGCTTTCAGCGAAGTCCACCGATAACACTTTTACATGAGCCACAGTGTATAGAGCACAGTGATTGTACCATCGTAAATTTAATTTTAAATGTGAATGCCGAAAAGCTTCGGTAGTTCCCCCCATCCCCACGCCGTGGCCACCGCAAGATATCCGAGTGGTCATTCATTAATTTCAAGGTTTCCAATGTGACGAAGAAAACGTTACGAAACCTCTCAAAATTGTAGTTTTCTTTGGCAGAGTCGATCAGCCAATAAAATAAAACTAATTGGTGACCATTAAGACAACGGTCTCAAAGATTAAGCACAATTCGACAGAGTTTTTGTTTCTGCAACTTAAAGTTAGAATCAACGAAACTGGAACGGTCAGTTGTTTAAGAATAAAGCGTTATTTTAAATTATTTTAAACTTTTGAGCCCTGCGACTCGATACAATTAATGATATTAACAATTACAGGTATATGGTGATGAGGGGAGCGGGACAATGGATTATTTATTGTACATATGGCTACGTGGAAAATGTCAATGTTGGTAAATATTTTAATATAAGTACATTATGTGGGCCACGGGTTCCTGACCTGGAGTTCGCGACCTTAAAAATGAGGTCACGGGAGATCACGAGGGGCAGGGGGAATCAAGATTGCGCGCAGAATAAACTGGGAAGGGAATTGAAATGAGTAATTCGATTTCACGTTGATATGGAAAATGTAAGTGGTGGCTGGGTGACTCAGAGGGATAATGCGAGACTCGGCGTACTGGGCCAGCTCCAGTGCGACTTGGGGGTCCAGTCCCAAGGGAGGACTCGTACAATCATTATTGTTCCCTCTGTTCGACAGAGATTTTCTTCCCATGGTGTCAGTCCAGTCTCTGCTGGCCACATGCAAAACAAACAAAGAAACCCCAAACAATTCTAACATATTACAGGTTATCTTGTTAAGTTGTAATATATATTTTTTACCCAGGTAAGCACCGATCTTCTACCTTTTGCAATAGACACATGGGACCTGTCGGGGGGGGGGGGTATTTGAACTCTGGCCTTGCGACATGAGAAGCAAATGCTCATCCGGAGACAGTACAGCATCACACAAATCCTCCGTAGTCTACGTGAGTTTATATGAGCCCAATGCACAATGCTCAAGACGGTGGAGGCATTCAGTGGAGAAATGTGGCTAAAGTATGAAGCACGTTGAGCAAGGCTTGCCACCTCTGGGGTACAAAAAAACAGGATTTAAAATAGGAAAACATATCTCATAATGGGCAAATAATACGTGTTATATTGTTGTTATGCAACTGACGAAACAAGGACTTTTAACGTTCTCGATAGACTTACATATTTCCTATGACTGGCATTTCAACAAGAAGACGATCCTGGAAAACACTGGACAGGTGGCAACCCTACCTTGATTGGTAATCGAACTGGGCCACGATGACTTGCTAGTCCAGTGTGATGTATCATTTACACCACAGTGGCTTCTCGTGCTCTCTAAGCCGAGTGAATAAAAATGGTTTATTGATTCGGCATTAGGCGTCTTGTAATGCCGGTATCGGAGTGAACTGGCGAGCCGCTACTCATTGTAGTGACATGACCTCCTGTCCCGTGGTGAGTGGCACACGCTGTCAACAAATAACAATATGGTCTGGTGAATATACACATTATTCAGGAAAACATTTGTGGGGAAAATAATTGTCAAGAAATACACTGAGAGCCGAAAGCAACAGTTTTTTTTTACTGGTATCTGTACTCTTTGTTTAGTTGTACTTTGATGAGGTTTTATATTTGGTTTGTGCAATTTTTATTAGTTTTTTTTACGTCTTAATCATTCACTTTTTTACACGTACTTTTTTATTGAATGCACATTGCTTTGGGATGTCTTGATGTGAAAGAAACTTTAGAACACAGATTACTACCATTATCATCATTACACCTCACTATCAAAGAACAGAGCCTTCATTGGGAATCAGGGCCAATCGCGTAAAAACATTTTCAAGTATTTATTACACATTCCATCAAGCCGAGAGTCGTTGCCGATAAACATCTGGCAGTTCACCAGCAGTTGGTTGATGCAAGGTGACTGTTGAGGAGACACTGAATATCGACACTGGCTCAGAGTTTGCTTGTGTTGAACCAATTCTGCTGAAACTACAGAATGCTACATTGTGTTTGGTCCAACGGACAAAATGTCATACAGAGATAGAGACAAATATCACCCGTATAGCCTTTACAAACCGTGGGGGGCAAGTGCTGTAAGCGAGCACCTATGAAGGCCGGCAAGGCACACGAGGGGGGGGGGGGGGTGTGTGGCCAACACTACGGCCGACCGCCTTTGTTTGCCTAGTGGCAATGTTTTTACACACCGCACCAGGTAAACTCAATTGAGGCTGAGTCGACCTAGGGGAGGCCCAGGACCGGTTCAGATACTCGTCGCTGGTGTTGGTCGTGAGCTGAACTCGGCTTGCCGGGTTCGAAGCGCAGCGCGCTAACCATTACGCCACTGCTCCCCACTTACGTACACGCACAAGTACAGACACATGCTGCAAATGGAAAGGCTATTTACAGTTAACGTGGCTAATCAACTTTCAAAGAGGACCGTATTAGTCCTGCGTAGGTGTTAACGGTTGTGCTGTACGACTCTCTGGTATGTCGTCGGATTTTGCATACTGTGCATTGTTCGGCGCGATGTCCGACGTTTTGCTCCACGTGCTGGGAGCTTCTGCAGGAACTGAATTTGGTATGGCCAGAAAAAAAACACGCGTTAAAGAGGACTGTACTGTGATACATATATTAACAAAAATACATTTGCTGTATTCATGAAATTGAATTACATGTTTTTTTTGCCGAGACAGAGTGATTGAGAGGGGGGAAAATGAAAGCAGTTGTTAAAAAATATATATATTTATTAAAAATGTAGCAGGCGAAATCTAAAAAAAAAATAGAATACTTTTAATGGAAAAAAATGGGGGTCGCGACTCAGGATGACTGGGAACTGCAAAGGCCACACGATAGCATGCATGTAATTTTCATGAATAAACCTGTGTATACTTTTGCAGCCTTTTAATTCATAGTTGCTTGTGGGGGAGGCTGAGGAGGAGATACAAAAATCAGGAGTCGAGAGCCAAAACGTAACTTTTTTTTCAGATGGAAACTCACGTGTAGGGTCATTGGCCATAAATGGATACTTTGTCCGAATTTAATTGAACTGTAATGAGATGTCATTATGAGTGGAATAATTAAATAAATTGATATATATCGAAAGATTTTAAATGCACTGTAAAATGCATCACTTACTGGAAGTGTATTGTATAGTGGTGATATGTTTTTGCCGAAATTACAATAAAGAAAATTGTTGACTAGATTCTTTTCCATACCCTAACCCAGTGTGTGCATCGCCCCACTTCTGTATTTGTCCATGCGCACCCGTTTGGTCAATCCACTGCTGGATGAGGTTCCTCCCGACGCCTGAGCACGTCGTGGGGGCGCCGTTTAACCATACTTCACCGTGTTTGTCAGCATGGGTCGGTGCAGGTGAGAATCACGTCAGTTGGAGCATAGTTGAGCACAACGAATGCATTGTGCGCGCTGCACTCCGCTGACAACGTAGCTCCCGCAGCGGTTACCAGCGCCTGTGTTATTCGTGGAGGTGGTAATGCACAGATCTGGAATTAGCGTTCGTTAATCTGACAGATCACCTTCTATTTAAAAATGAAATCTGATGATTTATCAAAAAATCTGGCTGTCGGCTGAATAATGCTAGTTGTAATTACTGGTGAATCGTCGTACTCGAATTGTAAATGTTCTGGGTTTACTCTCCAAAACACCGATGTTGCTGCACTCGTACCGAATTGGCATGTTTTGTTTACATGACAAACCTTACTAATTGGCTGTGTCGGGTTTAACGACACATTTATATTTACGCGATATACCCCCCCCCCCCCAAAAAAACCTGTATTATGGATGATATTGGTCGCGAAAGCCGACGTGTTTAACAGGTCAACTGCTGTGTGGAGTGGGCAGCAGAGTTCACACATTGTGATTAGTACAAACGTATTGATAGTGCTGTTCCCTCACAGCATCAGCACAGACCTCATATATATATAACTAGATGCCACACCACTTACACACCTGCCATTATTACCCGGTGCGAATTTGCAAAGGTCTTCAACAGATTTGCCGAATAAAATAAAATCTACGTGATTCTCTTTGTTTTGTTCTTACCAGATACCCATTCCTATATATGTAAAATATTATTCAACCATGATTTCTTTCACGGAGTCCATAGGGCTCTAGATTAATATGCAAAAAAAGTTATCTTAACGCATCTGTTGTTGGCACACGTGCACTCGAAACTCCCCCATGTAACGATTAGATGGTTGATAAAACAATTAATTATATGGGCTGATAGTACAATTAATTAGTTGGGTTGATAATACAAATAAGTAGATGGGTTGATAGTACAATTAATTATAGGGGCTGATAATGCAATTAATTAGTTGGGTTGATAACACAATTAATTATAGGGGCTGATAATACAATTAATTAGTTGGGATGATAATACAATGAATTATATGGGTTGATAATACAATTAATTAGTTGGGTTGATAACACAATTAATTATAGGGGCTGATAATACAATTAATTAGTTGGGTTGATAACACAATTAATTATAGGGGCTGATAATACAATTAATTAGTTGGGTTGATAATATAATGAATTATAGGGGCTGATAATACAATTAATTAGTTGGGTTGATAACACAATTAATTATAGGGGCTGATAATACAATTAAATAGTTGGGTTGATAGTACAATGAATTATATGGGTTGATAATACAATTAATTATAGGGGCTGATAATACAAGTAATTAGTTGGGTTGATAACACAATTAATTATAGGGGCTGATAATACAAGTAATTAGTTCGGTTGATAATACAATTAATTAGTTGGGTTGATAATTCAATGAATTATAGGGGCTGATAATACAATTAATTAGTTGGGATGATAATACAATGAATTATAGGGGCTGATAATACAATTAATTAGTTGGGATGATAATACAATGAATTATAGGGGCTGATAATACAATTAATTAGTTGGGTTGATAACACAATTAATTATAGGGGCTGATAATACAATTAATTCGTTGGGTTGATAGTACAATTAATTATAGGGGCTGATAATACAATTAATTAGTTGGGATGATAACACAATTAATTATAGGGGCTGATAATACAATTAATTCGTTGGGTTGATAACACAATTAATTACAGGGGCTGATAATACAATTAATTAGTTGGGTTGATAACACAATTAATTATAGGAGCTGATAATACAATTAATTATAGGGGCTGATAATACAATTAATTAGTTGGGTTGATAATACAATTAATTACAGGGGCTGATAATACAATTAAGGACAGGGGATGGTGTGACGAGGTGTACTGAGACAGCACCAGGGGTCTGTTCTCAAGCCATTCTCGTGAGCTTGACTCTTTGCCCGCGCCAGAGTGGCCGTGTTGGAACGGCTGCAACGAGGTGGAAAAAGTGTAACCTGTCACAAGTGCTGTCGCTCGGCCTACTATTATTAGAAATGTTATCTTTCGCTTGTAATGCAGCTGTCCTGGGAAATCTGCATGTCTTCATGAGACATTCAAAGTCCTGGGGTTTTTTTTGTTGTTGTCAGTTTCGTAATAATGCACCACTCAAGACGACGCGTTTGTGCGTAATTCCCACCGCTTCACGATTTTGCGACGTATTATTCCGGTGATGTGTTCAGGTTTTTTTTCGTGCCTCAGACGTGGCAATGCTACCGCTCACAAACAGCACATTACACAATATTAGAACCAACCGCATCCAAAATAATACTAATAACAATGATGGTAACTTATTTACCCGAGAAAGCACGAGCATCCAGATTGTTTTTTTCAAGAAGGGCCTATTACGATGAATGAGTCAGTTTAACATGTCGGCTTTCGCGACCCATATTTTCCATAATATACGGGTTTTTTGGGGGGTTTCATCTGTTGTAGGTTTACTCTCCAACACACACCGGGTGTGCTGTACGCGATCTAACCCCTCTCCCCCCCAACCCCCCCCCCCTCCCTCTATTAACGATGAATATTTGCCATTTGGGGACGAAAGTGGAGTGTACAGAGAAAATCTATTCTTACGAGGGTGTGACACCCAGTACTGCCAGAGCTTTGTTACCTCGCAGCCCCATTGCCCACAAAACACTTGGCAAGCTAATGCTGTCACCCATCCAAATTACTAAGCCTCGGTTAACCCTGTTCAACTTTCCAAGATCTAACAAGATCGGGAACATTTTCAGTGATTTGCTCATACATCTACGCAATGAATGAGGTTCAGCAAATTTTTGTTTCCCAGACACTCAACTATGACAGGATCCAGCCTCTCTGGCTTGCCGTCAATAGCTCCCTACGCGTGAACATCAATTGTTATTTCAAAGCGAGAGCAGGTGAACGGACAGTCGCTCTCAAAGGCGCAACAACTCGAGTGAGCACGCCGGTGTTCCGCGAGAAACTTGCCCAACCAGCAAACAACGGTCTCTCTCACTCTCTCTCTCCCGAGGGCTTGCTGCGGGGTCACTCTGGCGAAGGCACTGATTGCCCGGCCGACTGTTTTGGGAGGCTGTTTCAACTCCACGAGGGTGGGAGGGTTCTCCTAGATTGGGGAAAGAGCCCCGCAGCCCGATCTGCCGCTGCCGTCTGGCCGTCGACCCATCTGTCCATTTGCGGCGATGTGCGGGGGGCCGTCGGAGGAGATTGGCATCATTACAGGCTTGGAGGTGAGCGAGGGTAGGAATTGGGCAGGTTCGCTCTGAGGT